TTATATTTCAAAAAAATTATTTATTATAAAATTATTAAATTAAACATATTATTATTTAAAATTAAATTAATTAATAATTTAATATATAATGTAAGAAAAAAATTTAAGAATTTTACTAAATTATTCACAAATCCTATTAATTTTAGATAAGATGATTTTTGTAATCCTTTCTTAAAAAGTAGGATGGATAATTTACCAAATATATAAATTACAAAAAATTTTGCGAAAAATACTAGTATTACCAAATTAAGCTTAATTTTTTAAAAAAAGAAATGAAAAATGATATAGGGGTAACTTTTTATGTTTTTATATAACTTTACATGTTATTTAAATAATTGGTCTTTTTTATTCATTTGAGATTCATGATATTAAATGTATTTACTTATTTAATGATATATGAAAGTTGTATAAAAAAATAATATAAAAAGATTGTTGCTACATCATTACCCTTCAAAAATACAATTATAACATTAAATTATAAATTGTGTCTTTATTTTTTTATTGAATTTGGTAGTGGTACGGAGGAGTGTATAATTTTTCATTTTGTATCTATTTAAAAAAATATTTAATCTAACCATTAGTCTTTTAAAATATTAATTGTATTAAAAATTACATATATGTGTGAGAGTTAAAAATTATATCAATATATGCCAAATCACAATAATTACTTAAATAAAAAGGGTTAATAATACTTCTTCTTCTTCTTCTTCTTTTGATTATGTGTATCTTAATTAGATGGATCTAGAATTTCATGTAATAAATTTGCCTGTGTGAGTGGTAGTGACACTTCTTTTTAGCCTTAGTGAGTGGCAGGGACAGACAATTGCTCAACTGATGATGATTCAATTGACAGTATTATGTACTGCGTGTTAGGTATTAGAAACATGAGCATGTCCAAGGAGGATGGACAAATTAATTCTCTGTAATCATCATTATTTATGACATAACTTTTCTAAAATGTCGACACTGTGGCCAGCTACTAGCTTTGCTAAGTCTTCTGCCATGGTGATCTTTTCTCTGGAATTGCCAAATTGTTACCGTTTAAAATTACTTTAAGTAATGACAAATAGAAATTAATGATAATTGTAATATTATAGTTATAATATCATATAAAATTTTAAATTTATAAACATAATATATTATTAAATAAGTAAATATATATAATAAAGAGAACAAACTTTTTAATAAAAATAATCAATCATAAAATGACACCGTTGGATTATAAATTTATAATACTATATAAAAAATGTATAATAATTTCTATTCCTAAAAAGAGTTGGTGTTTTAATTTTAAATTATTTTATTTTATTTAATTAAAATTAAATTTAAAATTTTATTT